ACACCTCAGTGACATCTTGGTATATTTCCATTCTGTAGATGAGGATGCAATGGTACTCAGAAGCAGAGCTGCCCTGAGGAAACCCATTGTCATAGCTTGAAAGCTCTGTGAACTAAAGCAGGATGAGGGAGAACTGGGAATCAGGCTTCACCTGTAAAATGGGACAACACTGCAGCTCTCAACTCTTGCTTCATCGAGGTAACTTTGTGTTGTTTTTCGTGACAGGGTCTCTCTGTGTAACCCTGGCTGTCCTGGATCTTACTCTGCAGACCAGACTGGCCTTGAACACACAGAGATCTGTCTGCCTCTGCCTCCTGAGTGCTGGGATTAAAGGAGTGTGCTGCCACCACCCACTTCAATAAAGTGATTTATTAGCTACTTTGCTGAAGTACCGCTCCCGTGTAAGCAGTGCACACACACACTGCTATGTGTGGTGTTTAGTCTTCAGGACACATTACCTCATCTTACTCATCTTATGTATGGAACCTTGCTGTTGTCAGACCTGACCAGACAGCATCGCCTCTGTTCACCCACTTTCCTTGGCACACACTGGTACTTGCCTACCTAGTGTGGTTACTGAACACATGACATTCTGCTAGTCTGAACTGGGATGTGTTACAAGTAAAAGATCTAGACTGAGGAGCTGGAGAGATGGCTCAGTGGTTAAGAGCATTTTCCATTCTTGCAGAGGGCTGGAGTTCAGTTCCCAGGACCCTCGAGGCAGCTCACAGCAATCTCTAACTCCAGTTCTAGGAATTCTGACACCCTCTCCTGGCTCCGTGGGGCCTTCATGAATGTACAGCACACTATACGTGAAGGCAAAACACTCATACACACAAAAATCTTTATAAAAAGATTTAGAGACCAAATACCAAAGGCTACTATGTAAAAAGGGCAAAGTTTCTTGCTAATAATTTTTTTGCACCAGTTACATATGAAATATTATTTCTAACATATTCAGTATGTCGATACCCTCAAATATATGGCATTGGTTTTAGTTTTTACAAGACATGCAGGGATATTTCTGTACATGTGGCTCCATTCTGGTTCTTCTCAGCATTGTTGTGGAGTGGCTTTCTATGCTCCATTGTTGTTTATTTGTTGGTCCTCTCTGGTCACAAGTGTGGAAATGACAGGCATCATGTCAGGCATCATAGGCTGTGTCTAGAAGCAATCTTCTCGTCTCCAAAAGAATTGTCTCCTGAGTGACCAGTGAGATGAAGTGTCACTGGAGTGAGCCATGGGCTACCAACTTCAGACACCATCTCATACAAAAAGGCCTTTGTTTCTGATGACCACTGACCTTAGAAAGCATGGTGAACAACAGTTCCCCAAATATTATAGACTCTTAAATTTCCTCATGTTTTAGGAAGGATTGAGATTTCTTCTGTCCTAGCAGGACAGAAACTCAGAGGCCCTGGATTTAATACATTTAGTTTCATTTGGGATGGTTGGGGGGCGTGGGGGGAAGGTGCTGCAATTCTAAGGGAGGTCAAATTCCCTGAGTGTTTACAGTCTCCTTTACTCTGGCAATGGGAGTCCACCCAGTGTGGTCTGTCATCCAGTGCTTTGCTTTAGTAAGACACTTTCCGAAGTTTTCTGAAGTGGAGACTGTGTGCCTAGTGGTAAGACAACCACTCCCTCTGGAGAAGTCTTCACCCATCCCACTTTCACCATCTGGGATCCCCTCAGTGACAACCCTGCAGTCATCAAGACACCAAAGCTGACCAAGGCCATGCCACCCACCAGCACCCTGCATCTACTCCCTTCATCACCCATCACTGCAAGGAGGCTGCTTGTGTGTGCGCTGATCCGAGGGTCTCCATTTTGAGAACTACTAAGCCACGGGCTCTCTGCTGTTACCTAAGGTGATTCTGGGTTTTGTGTGTGTGTGTGTGTGTGTGTGTGTGTGTGTGTGTGTGTGTGTGTGT